GTTCTGTATTCAAACATATCTACAGAATGTCAATAAAAAAATGAGTGGATATATACAATTAATATACACACATACATATTCTCTCTCACACACACACATACATACATATCTAGGAACCAGCACCTACCACATTCCCATTTCTCACTAATGACCCAATGAATCATTTATTACTTTAAGACCAGCTTAGATTCTATAAGGCTATAACAACATATGGCTAAAGAGGTCAAACGCAAGCACCCACACTTGGGCTGGATTAAATGGTTCTTCCTCATGATTTCTGACAAGTACTCATGCCATTTACATAACAACTATACCTCAATAACTTAGAATTCAGAGTAAAAAACCATAAACACAGAACTCCCTCAATGTTTTAAGAGCACTCCTTTCACTCTATTTCCATAATAAGAGGGCACACAAACTAGATGACCAAACTGTACAAATGATCTTTACTCTTAATCTAAACAAACATGTGTTAAAACATTCTGAAATGCTGCATCCTTTGATTTCTTCATCTTTTCAATTGCCCGATGGAGGTCCTGCTGTTGCACAGGCCGAATTTCATCTTCATCATGACTAAAATGCAAACAAATCCAAATAATTTTATAATACATTTCCCTAAAATACGTTACCAAGATTTTTAAAAATACACGTGGTAGAAAAATAAGACTGTTAATGATAATAAGACTGTTAATGATAAAGTCTCTTTTCCCCAAAACAACCACAATTAACACAGCAAATTCTCTCAGGAATTCTATGCATACTCAAGTCATAAGAGATTTTTTAAAGACACTGACTGCTAAAAGATAGGAAATCAATACCAAGAATATAATGTAAGTACAGAATATTACCAAAAGATGAAGATGTTACCCAGTATTGTCAGTTTATCCAAACAGGTATATACATAATTCCCATCAAGAAATTAAAAGTTATTCCTATGAAAATGAAATTGAAAAGTAGCATTTCTAGGTATATACTCATCTATATGTTTAGCTTTTTACAAACTGGAAGTAAAACATCATTAAAAAAATAAAAAACCAATCCAAGTCCTCCCCACTTTAATCATGAGGAAAAAATTAAGTATATTATGCCTCCTATGTAATTTAAAGGTACTTGATGGAAAAAATATTGATAGGGAAAGTTTTGATAACCCAAGTCTATTAGCTGGATTTTTCAATACTGAAATATATAAATTTCAGAAGAGAAAAACATGTCTTCTTATTAATTTAGTAATCTTAAAATTTATGTTGTATAGGTTATTACTTTCTTTTTTCCTTTTTTTTGTACTGGGGGCTTAACCCAGGGGAGCTTTACCACAGATCTATATCCCCAGTCCTTTTTTATTTTGAGAGAAAATCTTGCTAAGTTGCTGAGGCTGGCATCAAACTTGCAATTATCTGGTGCCAACTTCCCAAGTTGCTGGAATTATGGCGTATGCCAGGGTACCCAGCTTATTTTTCCATATTTGACAACAATAAAGACCTTTGGAAGGCAGATTCTTAGCTGCAGAGGTCAAAAGTATTCCCCAACTTGCTAAAGTAGCTGGATTAATCTGGCAACAAATAAAGAGTGTCAACTTCTTCACAATGGAGCTTGAGGAAGTACTATCAATGGGACCAGAATCCTGCATACATAGCTACTGGTTGATAAGGTAGCTTTCACACAAACCCTTCTATACCCAACACACACAAAGGTTTTGCAGAAGTGTGCTATGGTAACACCCTATACTTAAGTATAAAACTACCAGAGGCAAATCAGGATCACTTGGACTAAGATCCTCAGGGAGTTCAAGAAGGGAAACTGACAAACAAAGTGGCAAGAGTTTGAGAAGTCATTCAACCTACCCGCCCCCCCACCCCCTGCAAAGAATACTAGTTTTAAGAGTCTCAGGAATTCTTTGTTAAAGGGTTGCTATTCTGAAAAGAAATGCATAGTAGTACTTGTTCAGGGCAAGTGACCTTTTGAGAATCTTCCTTAAAGGATTAAGTTAATAGGGCTGAATTATCCCAGTCCACCAGTATTCTTGCTGAAATTAATAGTACAAAATTTGATTCTCAAGTTTAACATACTTTGAAATTAATTTCAAGAAAATTTGGTTTAGTAACAAATGGTTTGTTTAATAACATTATTACTAACAAATTAAGGATTCAGTACCCCTTTCGTTTACACATGAAATTCCTGGAAAACAAGACATTCATTTCTATATAATGGAATTTAAGATGAAAAAGTGATCTAGGTACGCGAGAGAACTCTCCTAACAGAGACAGGCATGCCTAGGTTTCTGTCAGCTTTCTGGGCCCATGCCATGGATTACCAGAAGAAATTCAGCTTTTGTCCCCTTTCATCCTAGAACCTCTCCACTGCCCTTTCTTCCTTCCTTTAGAACTCCCCTTTAGAAATTTGGGAGAAATAAGGGGGAAATAAATAAGGGGGAAAGGGGAGCTGCTTATTCAAATTTACCTTTTATTCCCCAAGTAGGGTTACTACTACAAAGCAAAATTTCAAAAAACTAAAACTAAAAGCTCTAAAAGGTTTGATAAATACCAGAAACAAGTCTAAATATATACATACCTTTCTTCTGATGTAGAATTAACATATTCCCTGACACAGAGGAGGGCAGCATCTCGACACATCTCTTTTAGGTCACTTCCTGAAAAGCCATCAGTTTCCTGGGCAACCTCTAGCAGGTCTACATGCCTATCCACCTTAAACAAACATGAAACGTGCTTAAGAAACAAATACAAAATATACTGCAAAGGAGGTTTCCAAACATCTGTCTCAGAGTTAAAGAAAGTTAAGCATATTGTCAAAGCAGAAACATTAAAAAGTACTTTCAAATTTTAGAATTTTTTTCAATAACCACAAAGTTTAGAAACTTGAAATTCAATTTTCATTATCATTTATCATGATAGAAGTTAGTTTACTGGATACACTGTGGAGTGATGAGGAAGAGTAGACATTCAAGCACTGTTGGGATTCACTTTTGAACTTCTAAAGAAGATATCAAATTGACATATTTTATAATATATTCAACATACTTGGCATAGAGCTTGCATTTTTAAGTCCAGAGTCCATTACAAAAACCAAAACACTCTATTTAACATTCGTTTTAAATGTGATGCTTTATTTTTAGTACTTACAGTTCTACTCTTCATCCTAAACTTATAGTCAAGTCAGTTAAGTCAAGGCCAAATAACAGCTTTGGGAGAATAAAAGCATCATCATAAACTTATGGATTAAAAAAAAATGAAAAAGAAGATATATTCATGACTACCACCATCTACATCTGCTCATGCTACGTTGCCAAGGATATATCCTAGTACCTCAGCCTCCCAAGTAGCTGGGATTATAAGCATGCATCACCTTGCCCAGCCATTAAGGCATTCTAAGGTTTTATAATAATAGCACTGGAAAGAGGGAAGAGATGTTATTAATTAGACTTTATGTATATATCTAAAAAATTGGGGGGTTACCACTAAGGCATACAAAGAGAATTTGTAGCTTTGAAATCAGGAGAGAAAGAGGAAAAAAGGGAGTAAGAAATGCAAGAGCAATACTAATGAACAAAGACTAGGGGGTAGGGGTAGAAAGCAAAGGCATGGGAAAGATTAAAATAAAAATAAACACAAATTTACCAGTAATCATCACAAATAGTATAAATCAGGAAATGACAAGATATTCTGTGTTTATGTTGTTTATGTGTATGTAGTAAAAATGTAGCTGAGGTCTGAAATTCACAACTATGCTAAAGAAAATAGGCTTTGTTTATATTTAAAAAGAAGTTTAAAGTTGAAAATGATATACAAAGCAAACACTGAGAGAAAGTTAATATAGTTCTAGTTACATCAGATCAAACATTTTTATGCAAAATGCTTAACTGGGATGAGAAATCATTACATAAAAAAATAATACACCAGAAGAGACAAAAACTCCCTGTACCTTTACATACCTAACATCATGGTCCCAAAACATAATTATGTAGAAAAATGGGCAAATTCACAATAATATTGGGATATTTTTAACATGTCTCATATATTGAAACATCAAAGAATAAATTCTTAGAGCTAGTTAAAATTTGCACCTGTGATCTAATGTACTTACATGTATTAGGACTCATACACCTGACCAGAACAACTTAGGACGAAAAGTTTACTTTGGGCTCACAGTTTCCGAGGCACAGTCCATGATCAGCCAACTCCATTGTTCTGGGGCCAAGATGAGGTAGAACGCATGGAGGAAAGAAATGGTGGAAGAAAGCTTCTCAGCTCGTGGCAGTCAGGAAGCAGAGATTGAGTTCGAGGTGCCAGGAACAAAATATAAACCCTAAAGGCATGCCCCCAGTGACCCATTTCCTTCAGTTATACCCTACCTGCCTATAGTCATCACAGAGTACAGTAGTCCTTTCAAATTATTAATTCATCAAGCAGATTAACCCACTCACTAGGTTATAGCTCTCGTAATCTAAGCATTTCACCTTTGAACATTCCCAATTTGCCTAACATGAGCTTTTTGGAGGGGATACTTCATATCTAAACTATAACGATACATAAACCTTGCAAACACATTACAGGAATTCAGCATATAATTTAAATATTAGTCCTTTTTGGTTATAGGGTTGTAAATGTTTTTCCAATGACTTGTTTTTCCACTTTGTTCATGTTATCTTGTCATAGAGAAGATTTAAGTCTGATATAGTCAAATTTGTCTATTCTCTTTGTAGTTTTCACTTTTTTGTTTCAGGGACTCTTCTTTGTACATCAACAGATACATACAAGGATCCAATTTCTTTACCATTTGTAATAGTAAAAAATAAATAACCTACACCTATGCAAATGTAAGGCATCTACTCTCAAATATTAATGAAACTGATATTCACTGTCAACTTCGGGAAAGTAGGTTAGATGGTGATAGGGGTGTGGGTAGAGATGGGTTGCTAAATTTGATCGAAATTTGAAAGAAGTTAGTTGTCTATCTATAACTTAAAAAAAAAGAAAGAAAGAAAATTCTAGAAGTTAGAAAAAAGCTTTTACGAGGTATTAGCACTTTTCTTTCATTGGGGGGAAGGCGTGAGGAAAGTACCAAACAGCAGCAGACTTTTAAACTTTAAATAGCCAGGTCTGAGTGCCTGAACTTGCCTTTTCATTTTACTTCATCCTCCACGGAGTTCAATCACTTGGAGTGCCTACTTCACTTCTTTAAGCCAAAGAGAGGTATCCAGGCATCATGGGTGACTGGAGTGCCTTAGGCAAACTCCTTGACAAGGTCCAAGCCTACTCCACTGCTGGAGGGAAGGTGTGGCTGTCTGTTCTCTTCATTTTTCGAATCCTGCTACTGGGGACAGCAGTTGAATCAGCTTGGGGTGATGAGCAGTCTGCCTTTCATTGCAATACCCAACAACCTGGTTGTGAAAACGCCTGCTACGACAAGTCTTTCCCAATCTCTCATGTGCGCTTCTGGGTCCTGCAGATCATATTTGTGTCCGTACCCACACTCTTGTACCTGGCTCATGTGTTCTATGTGATGAGAAAAGAAGAGAAACTGAACAAGAAGGAGGAGGAGCTCAAAGTTGCCCAAACTGATGGGGTAAACATGGAGATGCACTTGAAGCAGATTGAAATAAAGAAGTTCAAGTATGGAATCGAGGAGCATGGTAAAGTGAAGATGCGAGGAGGGCTGCTGAGAACCTACATCATCAGTATCCTCTCTTCAAGTCTGTCTTCGAAGTGGCCTTCTTGCTGATCCAGTGGTACATCTATGGATTCAGCTTGAGTGCTGTCTACACTTGCAAAAGAGATCCCTGCCCACATCAAGTAGACTGCTTTCTCTCTCGCTCCACAGAGAAAACCATCTTCATCATCTTCATGCTGGTGGTGTCCTTGGTGTCTCTTGCCTTGAATATCATTGAACTCTTCTATGTCTTCTTCAAGGGCGTTAAGGATCGTGTGAAGGGAAGGAGTGATCCTTACCACGCTACCACTGGCCCACTGAGCCCCTCAAAAGACTGTGGATCTCCAAAATATGCTTATTTCAATGGCTGCTCTTCACCAACCGCTCCCCTGTCACCTATGTCTCCTCCTGGGTACAAGCTGGTTACTGGCGACAGAAACAATTCTTCATGCCGTAATTATAACAAGCAAGCAAGTGAGCAAAACTGGGCTAATTACAGCGCAGAACAAAACCGAATGGGGCAGGCAGGAAGCACCATCTCTAACTCCCACGCCCAGCCTTTCGATTTCCCGGATGACAACCAGAATTCTAAAAAAATCGCTGCTGGACATGAACTACAGCCACTAGCCATCGTGGACCAGCGACCTTCAAGCAGAGCCAGCAGCCGTGCCAGCAGCCGACCTCGGCCTGATGACCTGGAGATCTAGATCAGGCTTGAGCATCAAAATTCCTCTAACTGTGGAGAAGAAAAAAGGTGCTGTAGAAAGGGCACCCTAGGTGTTAATTTTGTTCCAGTTGGAGGTGGTACTCAACAGCCTTAGTCATGAGGCTTAGAAAACAACAAAGACTTTAGAATATGTAGGTTCATCAGGGGGTGTCTGGGATAGGTGGGTGGAGAGGGAGGGGATAAGGGAGGTACATGTGGAGATTTAACGTAGTGAATTCAAAGAACTTAATTTCTAAAGCAGAGTTGCATTAGGTGATACATAGGTAAGGGCTTTTTCTCCCCAACGTATACCCCTAAGAATGGTTCTGTGTATGTGAAAGAGTGGGTGATCATTGTGGCTAAATATTTTTAAAATTTTTGTTGTACCAAGAAACTGAAATAGCTTTGGCCAGGAATAAATACTTCCTGAACATTTTATTTCTTTGCAACAAGAAAAAGACAGAAGATTGTTCTTATGTCCCTGCTAAAACATTCTATTGTTAAAATTTGCACTTTGAAGGTAAACTTTCAATCCTCCAGGTGTCAAAGGACTTGTGCTACTACTTTTTTTTTTTTTTTTTTTTTAAATTCTTGGTAACAACTGAAAGTTCAGACAAGGCCCACAGAAAAAGGTGTTCCATGCATTTGCCATCCATACAGGAGTATTTTTTTTTGCATCCACTTTCATCATATCATTGCCATCACTTTTCTTCATTCCTCAACTACTATTCACATTCATTTAATGGTTTCTGTAAACATTTTTAAAACAGTTGGGATGTCACTTAGCATGCTTTTTCTTTGATTTAGTGTCAGGGAAGCAAGCCATGCTCAATATTTAACAATCACTTGTATGTGTATGTGTGTGGAAGAGTGTGTTTAATTTCTCATGTATTGGTACAAGCAGATTCAGTATAAACTCACAAACACAGATTTGAAAATAATGCACACACAGTGTTCAAATTTGAACCTTTCTCATGGATTTTGTGGTGTGGGCCAATATGGTGTTTACATTATATAATTCCTGCTGTGCAAATAAAGCACATTTTTTTTTTCCTAAAATGTTTTTCCCCATGTATTCTATTATGGATACTGGTTTTGTTAATTATGATTTTTTCTTTCTTTCTTTTTTTTTTTTTTTTTAGAATGTAGCAGTAATGCTATTACTGAGATGAATGATTTCCTTTTTCTGAAATATAATCATTGATGCTTGAATGATTGAATTTTAGTACTGTAAACAGGCTTTAGTCATTAATGTGAGAGAATTAGAAGAAATGCTTAGATTGGACTATTAAGTGTACCTAAATGAATTTTGCAGTAACTGGTATTCTTGATTTTTGTCCTACTTACTACACATTAATTCAGAACTTGTATTCTCTTATGAGGTTGACAGTCTTTTGGAGTGACCAGCAACTTTGATGTTTGCACTAAGATTTTATTTGGAATGCAAGAGAGGTTGAAAGAGGTTCAGTAGTGCACATGAAACTAATTTATTTGAACTATATGCTGAAGACATCTACCAGTTTCTTCAAATGCTTTTTTAAACTCATCACAGATGATTGGTGAAAATGCTGAATATCATCATACTATTCTTCTTGCACATCAGCTACACAAACAGTTTTGAACAATGAAAATACTAATGTGTTTGACATTCCATGTTAAACTACTGTCATGTTCAGCTTCATTGCATTTAATGTAGACCTGGTCCATCAGATCTTGTGTTCTGGAGAGTGTTCTTTATTCAATAAAGTTTTAATTTAGTATAAAGGAAAAAAAAAGAAAATTCTAGTCATGGGGGAGCAAGTTAGTTAACAGAGAAAGCATAGCCTAATGATTCAGAGAAAGGTTCCATCACTTCTTTGTGTGATTCTGAACAAATTTTTATATAACTCTCTGGGTTTCAGTCTCCTCAACTATAAAACAGAACTAATATGTACTCCTTGTAGGACTGAGTAATATATAAAACAAGGCACAATTCACAACAGTGCTGGTATATAACAAGCACTCCAAAAGTACTCCCCCCCCGCCTTTTTTTACTGTAGAATAATAGACATTAGACAAATCATGAATGGAAATTCTTTTCATTAAGCAATAAAGCCAATTCCCAAATTAAAGGTTTTTGAGAACTGGTAACAATATTAGAGCATATTAAGAGACTTCTAAAATAACTTGAAAGAAAAGCACTTGTTTATATAGGTATTTACTTTACCTAAAATTAACTGTACACTTAATATGCATATTACTCTAAGTAGTTTACATACAAAAATCTAATTAAATTCTCAAAATGATTTCATTAGATTGTTGGCATCTAATTTCCAAATGGAAAAAAAAAATGAGGCATAAATATACTGAATAGTATGACCAAGCAGGGAATGGTCAAGCCAGAATATGGGAGACTCTCAGATCTGTCTCTGAAGCCCATGCTTGTTAATTATTTCTGTTTAAATTCAGATAAGTTTGTATAGGGGAAAAAAGTGACCTCCTTACTTTACAGTCAGACATGATACTTTTATTATATAAATTTTATTAGCGTTAATTCTTTTTACCCTTAAAATTTTAAGCCAAAACTACTACCCTACTTTAAAAACTTATTTATTTTATTTGGTACTAGGGACTGGACCCAAGGGAGCTTCACCACTGAGCTACAGCCCCAGACCTTTTAATTTTTTAAATTTTGCAGGGATTTGCTATATTGCCCAGGCTGGCTTTGAACCCTCTTGCCTTAGCCTCCCAAGTAGTTGGGATTACAGGTGTGTACCACTGCACCCAGCTTACCCTTTCTTTTTAAAAGAAAGCAAATAATGTTATGGAATATCTATTAACAAAGAACTGTAAGAGTGGAACACAGGATCATTTTAAGAGTATCAATCTTTTCTTCAGAGAAGATAAACTCAAAAAATATAAAAGTCTGCTACTTTTTTTTTTTCAATAAACGCTTATTTATTCAGTAATGTAAAAACAGCAATGGTACTCACTTGTGCTACTGATGTGAAGCATCTTTTAAAAAAAAAAAGTAAATAAATTTTTCATATTTTATTGAAGGAGCAATCTGCCTTCAGCATATAAATACTAGCTAGTAGGAAATGAGATGCTCCCATGTCAGCAATTATCTGGAGAACACTCATATTTTGCATCATAAAACTGGTTAGAGACTAATCATTTGTGCTTTCATGAATAAGAAACAGAATGCTAAAAACTTCCTGCGCCCATGACAAATGTAATTCTAAAAGAATTTCCAAAGACATTACTGTTAAAAAAAAAAAAATCACACAAAACACTACTGAAACAGAAATCAAAATGTTAAATTAGAAGAGTAATTCCTTAAATTAAATGAGACAAAGAGCTTAAATTTCATCATTTACACTGTTGATATATATTTAAATATATAAATCATCTACATTATCTATATCTTTACTAGATACATACATGTGGTTTAAAAACATGGTTAACTTTCAGTTACGCAATACAATATCTCATTACATTTTTTTAAAGTTAAATAATTTATACTGATAATCTGATATCTCTGCAAAGTTGTCAAGAACTATCTCCTAACATCTGTTCAATTTCTAGGCACAATATAGTCGACCTATCTCCTCTGTTTATTTCTCCTGCTGATGTCTATTCTTGAGAAAGATTTATAAACTGTGTTTTATCTAAATAGTACTGCAACTACACAATATATTTCTGAAAGCAGTTACCAAATATTCAATTAAAAGGCAAAATGTAATTTGCATTTTTATCTAAGACAGGAATTCCTTACTAATATGGAAGATTTAGGAATTTCTCTGAAATCAAACAAAATATTCCATGAAGTATGTTGCTTTCTTAGGAAAGACTAGAGCTTTTATCTCATTCTTAAAAGACTCTACCACTCCCAAAATGGTTAAAACCATGGATCTGTAATCTTTGTAATTTATTCTGATCTTTGTAATTTGATAGGTTCTTTAATCTTTTTCACAGAGTACATATTACTGTTCTGCTTTAAGTAAGTGGCCCAAATTCATGTGTCAGAAACTTAATCCTCACCTCAGTAGTATTGAGACCTCATGAGATTGGAGCCCTCAAGAATGGTTTAATGTTGGGCTGGGGTTGTGACTCAGCAGTAGAGTACTCACCTAGCAAGTACGAGGCCCTAGGTTCTAGCCTCAGTACCACATAAAAATAAATAAATAAAGGTATTGTGTACAACTACAACTAAAAAATAAATAAATAAATATATATATATATATATATATATATATATATATATATATATAAAAGAATGGTTTAATGTCACCATGGGAGTGGGTAAGTTACTGAGTCTGCAGGCTGTTAGAGAGATCCACCACTCATACTTTTACTTTTCCACATGTGTTCAATTGCCCTTCTGCTTTTCTGCCATTATATACAGTATGAAAGCCCTCACTATCCACTGTCACCATGCCTTTAGACTTCCCAGGTTCCAGAACTGTGAGCTAAATAAGCTTCTGTTATAGCAATGGAAAAATGACTAAAACAGTTATTCTGATATACTTTAGAACCCTGCTGAAACATAAGGAAGAATTAATCAGAAAGAATATTTGCTATGGGATAGAAAGATTTAACACCAAGAAGATCTCAATTCTCTTGAATAATTATCCACTAAAAATATTAACATTTTTCCCTCCAAAAGACAAACTGATTTTAAACTTCATGAAAAATAAATAAATAAATAAATGGAATAGGAATAAATAAATAAATAATAGGGATAGGAAAGCAACATGGGGTAGTCCCACTAGATATTATAACTTATAAAGCGACAATAATTAAAACAGTGTGTTGCCAGTGTACACAAACACAAAAGACCAATGACCTGAATTCAAAGTCCAAAACACAGCCAAAATGTGAAAATTCAATAAAGAAAAAGATGGCCTATTCAATAATTGGTGTTGGGACAAATGAATTCCCATCTTTTTTTTTTTTAAATATTTTTTAAATCATAGTTGGACACAATATCTTTATTTATTTTTATGTGGTGCTGAGGATTGAACCCATTGCCTCACCTGTGGGAGGCGGGCGCTCTACTACTGAGCTACAGTCCCATGAATTCCCATCTTAAAAAAAATAAAATAAAAGCAAATTTGGATTCATACTGCACATTACCTATTCAGATAAATTCCAAATACAGCAAAGATTTACTTACTTACTTATTAATTTGAACCCTCTGAACTACATCCCCAGCTCTTTTTTGTCCTTTTTTTCCCCCCAATATTGAGAATTGAACCCAAGGCCTTACATGTGCTAGGTAAGCACTCTACAACTGACCTACATTCCCAGTCCATCTCGTCTTTTTTTATACATTTTCAAATTTGAACAAATTTAAAAAAAAATTCTTTTCAATTTTGAGATAGTCTCAAAAGTTGCCCAGGCTAGCTTTCCTTGCACTCATGCTCCTCCTGCCTCAGCCTCCCAATAGCTGGGATTATAGATGCATGCCACCATATCTAGCCCCTTATACCCAATATTTAAATATAAAACATAAAACCACAGCCACCATGATATTATATATCTCCTGATGGAAGAATATAATCTCACCTAAGAAGTAGTTCTGTCCTGTCTTTTCTATCAACCTGAACTTAAATATTACCAGTCTCCTAACCCAACTACCAAATTTAGAGGGTAACTGTCTGTATAAACAGCAAAATCTGACTGTGGAAAACAATTCAAAAGGGAGGGGGAGAAAAAAAAAAAAAAGGAAGAAGAGAAATGAAACTTTAGTTTATACATTAAACAAGACTTAAAAAAAAGTACCAAATAACTGCAAATTATGAACTCAATATAGATAATCAAGTCAAACAAAAACCGTTAAAAAAAAATCAAGACATTTAGGAGACAAAAATTTGAACAGATTAGACAATGATAACTAAATTTTTGTTAGATGGAATATTAACAAGGTTAGATTTTTTTTTAAAAGAAGCAATACAAATAAAATATTTACAGATGTAATACAATGGGAAATGTGGGAAGTTAGGAAGTGAGATATGAAAGGAGAAGTAGATACAGAACCGATGGGTTCAAGGAAGGAAGGAAGCCACAGACATACAAATATCCTGAACTAGGGAAATCTATTTTAGTTTCTTAGTTTTAGTATTGAGTTCAAACAGTGAGTTTAGATATCAAAAATATATTTGGGGGCTGGGGATGTGGCTCAGTGGTAGAGAACTTGCCTAGCACATGTGAGGCACTGGGTTCGATCCCCAGTACCACATTTTAAAAAAACAAAATAAAGGTATTGTGTCCATCTACAACTAAAAATATTTTTAAAGTAAAAATTAAAAAATATATATTCAGGTTGACAGAGAGAGGAGATAGGACTTCTTAGGTGAAATTATATTCTTCCTTCAGGAGATATACAATATCTTGATGGCTGTGATTTTGTTTTACTTTAAAAATAAAATTATTAAAATTAAAATATATGGAGTTTTAGAAAAACAAGTAACAAGAACTTAGAAAATATGGAAAATTCTTTTGTAAACCTGAGAAGAGAAAAGGATCTTTTAATTTATATTTAAAACCCAGAAGCCATTAACAGGGGAAAAATTATCAATAAAATCAAAAGACAAACTTGGAAACTTTGTCAAATCATACAAAGAACAAATCTCCCTAATACAGAATTTCTACAAATCTTTATAAAAAGGAACAATTCAATAGAAAATGAGTGAGGCTAATGCAGGAGGATACAGGTTTGAAGCCAGCCCCAGCAATTTAGCAAGACTGTACACAACCTAGTGACACCCTGTCTCAAAATAAAAAATAAAAAGGGCTAGGGATGAGGCTCAGGGGTTCAGTGCTCCTGGGTTTGGTCTCCTGGGTTCAGTTCTTGGTACAAAAAAAATGGGGGGCGGGAGCGTGGAGGGATTTATAGGGGGAAAAAAAAAGTCAAACTCCTCTTAAAAATATACAGCAATACTCACTTCATCTCTAAAGAATGCAAATTAAAACTTTAATGAGATAACTATTTTCTAACCCATCATGTTGGCACAAAATTCTATAACATTCTTTGCCGAAGCTATAAGAGGTACTCCAATATTGCCAGTATGAGAATAAACTTTCACAGACAATTTGGCAAGAGCTACCAAAACAGAAAGAAATACCCTGTCCTTAGATTTAGCGATTTCTCTTCTGTAAAAATTTGCTTTACTAATATTCTGGTACAAGGTTATTCAATGCAATATTTTTATAATAATGAAAGACTAGAATCAACCTGAATGTCCTTCAATATGGCACTGATTAAAAGCATTACATTGTAGTTATACAACAGAATTCCAGCAGTATAAAGAGAGAGAGAGCAGAATAAGGAAAATATATGCTAATATGGAAAGACCTCAAAGATAAGAAAGCAATGACCAGAATAGTGAAATGACTTGTTAACATGGTTTATATTTTTTAAAAAAGGAGGAATAACAGTATATTTTAATTTGCTTATAAAGACATAACAACAAATTCAAAGTACAGAATACAAGGAAGGGAGAATTTTCCCTGTATACCATTCAATATATGTATTTTAATGTTTGAAACATTTGACTATATGGTCTATTAAAAAAAACCAAAAAACCTTAAATACAAAAGATATTGAAGGGGCTGGGGTTGTAGCTCAGTGGTAGAGCACCTGCCTCACATATGTGAGGCACTGGGTTCAATTCTAAGCACCACATAAAAATAACAAAGATTTTTTTAAAAGATATTGAAGATTTCTCTTAAATCTAAATTCCAACTTCAAAAAATATTTCAACTAAGTAGAAACAAGACGCAAAACAAAAATTTATTTTCTTTACAAAAATAAATGTTCTTATGTAACCATAAATGGTCTAAAAAATATCAAAGAGTATTAATACAAAAACATGAGGCTCACCTTAACTAGTTCAAAGGTACTGAGTTACAGGAGCAAACTACAGTTTTACAGTAATTTTCATCAAGTTCGAAATTACATGATTTTCAGACACCTCATTCGTTCCTCTTTAAAATAAGTTTATGAACATAAACACCACATTATAGAATGAGGAAAAATGATTTTCTACTTACATTTTCATTTTTCAAGATGAGCTTCAAGATTGCTTCTCTTTGTTTTAGAGCCTAAATGCAGAATAATTTCAGTTAGCTTTTTTTTTAAAGGACCAATTAGTTTTCCTAATTCTTCTTCCCTTGTGAACTATGTGATGATACCTAAACAAAATGACAGAAACTTTCTGTACATAGTGGCACATGACTGTCATCCCAGCAACATCCCAGCACATGACTGTCATCCCAGCGTAGGAGGATGGCAAGTTTGAGGGCAGTCTCAGCAACTTAGTGAAACCTCTCTCAACTTAAAAAGGCGGGGCAGAGTACTGGTGATATCGCTCAACGGTACAGCATCCGGAGGTTCAATCCCCAGTACTAACAAATAAATAAATAAATGAAACAGAAACTCTGGTAGAGATCAAAGCAAGATCTTATTTTGATACTCTACAGTAATCATCTGTGGTTATGCCACTGAATTCCATTTCTTATTCTGTATCCCCAGTGCCTATAATGTATGGGAAAGAATATGCCCTTAATATTTACTGAATGAGTGAAGGAATATCTAAGACTACAATGTGTTTCCCATATAACTCTACAATCTTCCTTACGAAATTTATGAAAACTCACTACTACCCTAAAATTGAGAGGTACTGAGGAAAGGGGGTTACTAGGAATCAAACCCAGGGGTGCTCTACCTCTGCGTTAAATCTCCAGCTCTTTTCATTTTATTTTTGAGACAGGCTAAATTCACCAGACTGGCCTCAAATCTGTAATCCTCCTGCTTCAGCCTTCAGAGTAGCTAGGATTATAGAAATATACTATTGCACCTGGATGCCATAAGATTTTTTTTTTTACCAGTAACTGGAGGTTGGGGCAACACTTACCTCTCCTCCATTTAACATAAAATGTCCACGTTCACTAACACTTATCAGTGAATTTTTATTTAGTTCCAATGATTTTCCCCCAGTGATACCTCACATTATTATATTAGAAACTACACTTAGGGAATATTTATATAGATTTTTTAAAATATTTTTAGTTGTAGATGAATATAATAACTTTATTTTGTTTATTTATTTATGTGGTACTGAGGATCGAACCCAATGCCTCACACATGCTAGCAAAGTGCTCTACCACTGAGCCACAATCCCAGCAAAGGTTTTGAAAGAAGTTGACGTCAGTTTAGATTTTTAGAATTATGACAGAA